CTGTCTGTAGTTAACAGTGCAGTTAGAACAGTACTGTCTGTAGTTAACACCCTGTAGTAAGAACCATGTTGTCAGTAGTTAACACAATACAGTCAGTTAGAATAGCGGCTGAAGTACCTTTACAGGCGCTGATCATCTGCAGTACCATCTCTGATGCTCCACGGTTGTGCAGTCTGGCTTGTTGATACAGGAGCCTCTGCTTCTCCATTTCCTTTTCCTGAAGGTAGAGACTATGTTGTGAAGCTGTCCAACTCTCCACACAGCCTCACTCTCCCTGCATCTCCCCACCCCCCTCCTTTCTCCAATCTTAAAGCTGTCTTCTACCCTTTTCCCTGTCTCTCCTGAAGACTTTCTCTCCTCTGTCTCCATCAATACCCTCTCCTACCCTCCTCTGCCATCTCAGTCCTCCTCTTCCCTCCTCTCTCCTCAACACTCTTCTCCTCTGTCTCTTATCTCAGAACAGTCCCTCTTCCTGTTACTCCTGAACACTACCCTTCCCTCTGTCTCCATACTCTGTGCTCTGTCACTAACCACAAAGAGCTATGGGGGTATGGAACAAGCTACACAGCCATAATCGACCTTTTCTTCCAAGAAATGGCTGGATGAGATTCTCACAACAATCGGCTACTGGCTATCATGTGAGCTAGATGAACCAAATGGTCATTTCCTGTTTCTAATCTTTCTTATGTTGATCTTTTGGTCCTCTCCATTGCCCCCTCTCTCTCATCTCAGGAGACTGTGTCCTGTCTTTAGCTGAGCTAAAGCTAGAGCTCTATACTCCTCTGAAGCCCCTCTTTTATCTCTTCCTCCCTGTTGTCACCTGACCTGCACCATCTCCGTGTCTGCCTGTCCATTACTGTCCCCCAGTAACCCTCTCCTACTCTTCCTTCACCGCCTTCTCTCTCACAGGTATATTAGTCCAGGAGTCGTCACTTTCTTCTCCACGTTTGCCAAGAGCAGCAAACGTTAGACTACAGAAAACAGGCCTATGGTCCCTGTGCAGTCTGCACTGTGATGGAAGATACTGACAAGAGTGCCTGTCTGAGTGAAGAACCCAGGGGGCGCCTGGAGGAGCTGGTCAGATCATGGAACCATGGAACAGTGATATCTCAGTCACGTACAGATAGCACCACAGGGAACACATTCACAGACAGCACAAGTGGGCCCTTCCTGCAGTTGTGCTCCTTACAAACCAGCAGGGACACAAACGTAGGTCCCCACTGAGCTCACATACTGTCCCCGGCACCTAGGGGATTGTGTGATTGTGTTCCCCTTCCCCCTTCTTCCACTGCTTCAAGGTCAATGATCTTCACCATACAGTTGTCTGAATAAGCCAGCTAATTTACAGGCACCCTCTGGATCATTACTTCTATTCTGTCTTTTGAGCTCTCAACATTTACAAGTCAATGGACACAGAGCTCAACTCTAAGAAGAAGATGGAGACATGTTGTGCCCCATAGCTCCCACTGGAATTAAAAAACTACCAAAAAAAGCGAGTTGGCTTTTAAAGTTATTGAAATATAATTGATCTGATTAAGTCAGATCAAACTGTCAGCTGTCAGCTGGCTCACTGGTCACATTGAGCTGTTACTCTGTCTTGGAAGATCTTGGTTTCACTGTGTTATACTGTATATATTTAAACAGCATCTGTGGCTCCCTCACAAACACTCCTCTGCTGTCCTGTTACCCTGAAGAACTAGAGGACATTACAGACACAGGACGAATAAACAGAGACCCCAGACCAAATAACCCATGCCATACACACCTTCCAAACACACACCACAGATAACCCTACCCAAACACCTTACCCCAAAGACACCCCCCAGACTCACACCCCCGATAACCCTGCCCAAACACCTAACACCAAACACACACCCCAGACACACCCCCCAGATAACCATGCCCAAACACCCCACCACAGAGCACCCAAACCTGAGCCGCAAGCACCTCAACACCCACCTAAATCCCATCTCAGCCTGCCTGTGTGGGAGGTCTCCTTTCTGATTACTTTCGCTTCAGTGCTCACAGGACAATCAGAAAGACAGGCTGTGTGATCTCCTCTCCCCAGACCAGGCCCATCCAGGTTACTTCTCTGTCGGCCATGCGCTCACAGACAGCTTCACAGGAGCCACGGCCAGCGTGACCCTTTATTATTTCAGCACACGTACTGTATACCCCCAGCCAACGTGTGAGCACCCCTCACATCAGGCAGGCAGAGCCTGAACCAGACGAGGTTGAGAGGTGCCCTCAGACAGGGTGGCCTTCAGCTGAGGCTGTAAGGAGGGTGTGTAACTGTGCTTGGGACTGAGGTGAACTTTTCACCATCTGACTGATTTCCAACAGGATTAAGGTCTGGGAATGTCCTGGTCAGGGAGGGTGATGCCCTCTTGTTTCCTGCTCCTCAAGCCATTAACGCGGTGTCTGCCATTGTGTCCATTCATACGGATAGGGGGACTTCCTAATATTTTGGCCAGTGGGTGCTGACATGGCCCTTATGAAGCCAGGGTATGAGCATGATGAAATCTGGCACAATAAAAAACTTAAACTCGAGCAATAATCTGGAAAGGCCTGGTTTTGGGAGAGCATCACAGGTACTGTATTTGGACTGTGTGTCGATGATGTGCAGAGATATTGGTGTCGGACGAGAGGCGCAATGTTTTACTGTAGTCCTGGGTCATTATACTGGGTGAGTACGGGGGGGGGGTTAATCAATCATCTCGCAAATTTATTAAATATCAAAGAGGGTGAGCAAGGACACTCAAACTACTCAAAAGAAAACTCAATGAATAAAGAAAAAACAAACGCACCACTCAATCAGTGAGCGATCCATGTACTGTATACGTGAGTACAGACACACTTAAAAAAATTAAATCTATTGCTGAAAACTAGAGAAGTGACTAACACTTTCTTAGTCAAGAACCCTCCCATATTAAAACAAGCACTTTGTGGGACTGGTCTTCTATGCCTGTAGTAATAATGGGGCCATATCTTGACCTGATCCGTCAGGTCTCAAAAGGTAAGCAAGGCTAGGTCTGGTCAGGCTGGGATTGTAGGCCTCTAAAGGAAAACCAGATTGCAACAGTAATTGGAGTGGTTAAACCACTAGATGGTGCTTTTCCGTCTGGAGCAGAATTTTCCCTTTGGAGCAGTCAGTATGGAGACCGGGGACACTGTTATGCAGGAGGTGCACTCAATGGAGGTTCTGACTGTATGTCCAGTAAAGGCCACAGTACTGTTCTGAAGAGTCAAGGTGTTAACCCTGGTGTCTTCACTAAACACCCTGGGCTCCCAGAGTCTCCCGCTTCACTGGTGTAGCAATTCCACACTTCTGCACTGATCCACAGTGTAGGGGGGTGTAGGCAGAGATGCCTTCCTGCATCACCCAGGTGGAGCTACGCTTCAATAGTGGATGAAGTGGGTCCCATCCTGTATGTAAAATGCTTTAGGACTACTCGGGATGAAAAGCACTATTTAAATGCAATTAGCATCTGAGTTAGACCTTGCGTGGTGAAGATAAGGAGAGGGACTGCAGTTCTGGACAACTTATTTCAGGCTCCTGCAACTCTGAATGCTCAAGACACATCCCAGACAAAGATAATACCTGCTCTGCTGTCGAGAGAGCTCAAGGGACTGACATCCTTTTTATGAGCTCTTTCAAGCCATACAGTATGCCCTGATTCCACACCGCGGTGCTGTGTCTCAGACACCTTCTTTGTATTATGGGTGCTTGTTTTAATATGGCAGGGCTCTGTAGCACTAATACTCCTACGAATAGTAAGAATAATCTGATCAAACCACAAAACAAATGCAAAGATAGAGAAAAATGAAAGAACGACTGAGGGCGTGCAAGGTGCAGACGGGCGGTGCTGGCTGCAGGCTCTGGTCACAAGGTGCGTCGTGGCGCGTGTCTCCCCTCCCCCGGCCCCTGGCTCCCCCATACCATATCTGCCTGTCGCACCTCAAAGGACAGCTCCTCGCCCCCCTTCTCCTCCTCCCCCTCTTCGTCTTCCTCACCGATGTGGCAGCTCTGAAAATCACAGAGTGATTGGCGCACGGGCAGACAGAGCGCGAGGGTCAGCCATACAGAGTTAAAGAGACAGGGACGGGAGAAAGAAAGACAGAAAGAGAAATTCACAGTTCACGTACACAAGCACATGAGCAGATGCACACAGACAGGGAAAAAAAAGAGAACACCATTAGGCCCAGTTTGTCACTGCAAGACAGAGGCAACTCTGACCTCAAAATTACTAATCAACCATAAAAATCAACCTCAGGTGGACTCACAAGGCTAATCATGCACAGTTAGAGCACTGTGCAAAGACAAATAGGAGCACCTACAAACAGTGATATCAACTAATTCCCTCCCTCAACGCATCTCTAACTCACTCGATCGCCTGCTACCAGAAAAAAGGACTCACCTTTGCCATTATATCGGCATAGGACATGTACAGGTAATCCACATCCAGTTTACTGTGGAGAGAAGCAGAGAGAGAGAAACGGGTAAAGGTGAGGGAGTGTGAGATGGTGTGAGAAGGACAGAGTGTGTCTGGGAGAGAGACTGATCGATTCCTTGTCAGTGCAGTTCAGATCTATCCGAAGGATGTCTGATCACAGCATCAAAAGTCTCTCTTCCAGTTCCTGCCTTTATGACTTCAGCTCCTTGGAATCAGTGGTTTCTTTACCGTTCCATTGAGAGGACTCTGGCTGCAAAGCAGTCCCCACCTTGATCCAAATAATGTCCTGCTGAGACTGCCGAAACATCTACCGCTATGGAGATCTATATGTTGTATATACAGCATTCAGAAATGCTTTGGCAATCCTGGTTTAACTTTGTAGAGCTAGTTAAGCACAGCTGAAACGAACTTCATGTCAACAGTATATGACCAGCAGCAGAAGCAGGAAAAAGCCTTGCCCAGTCACTCCAGCAGGCTCCAGCGCAAGGTCTGTGATTTTCATGACAGGTGACAGGGAGACAGAGACAGAGAGATGACAAGACACTCATCTTGCATAACTGTGTACTATAGAACAACGTAACTGAAAAGTGAAGTTTTCATTCTATGCCTGACACTGCGCCCTCCTGTCTCTCACAAGTTCGAAAAGAGGAGGTTGAAAATTCTAGCCAATATTTCAATGATCACGTCCACAGATATCACTTATGAAGTCCAGATGTCCGCGGACACAGAGCTCTTCTTGTAAGCGGAAGAGCAGCTCCCCTCTGGGAGGGAGAGGTCGTCTCACCTCTTTTCGGTGAGTGCGGTGCGGCTGAAATGCAGGATAAGCTGGTGAAGGGGGTCCGGCTTTGTCTCCGTCTCCTCCTCCTCTTCCTCCTCCTGCTCCATGGATTTCTTCCCCAGAGAGAGAGATTTACACCTTGCTGACAAACTTCTCATAGCAGTGCAGTAAAGAACACAGCACAATATGGTACAGAGCAAACTGCGTATTTATACTGCAGTTTAGTGCGCTGAAGTGCATAACAGTACTGTTCAGTAGTTTTACTGAAATTTTGCTATGCAATATAGTCACAGCACAGCACAGCTCATTACAGCAAGGTACTTACAGACAAATCATCGATCATTCTGTCCTCGAAGGAGTACCCCTCTGTCTCAATCCACGTGCGCTTAAACCCCTCCAGGAACATGTTGGATGCTCTGTGCCTGAGGGACAGAAAAAGATTGTAACATGTGGGTTTTGCAACAGGTGGTTTATAGTTACCCTGCAGGCAGAGGAGTGTGCAGTGGCCTTGGCAGATGAACAGATGAATATATACAGTAGTTATCTGAGCAGGTTTGAATATAGTTACAGTATTTGTGTAGGTTAACATTAGTTACCAGGACAGGTGGGGCAGTACAGAGTCCTGATCAGTTAATGTACAGTGATTTTACATTTACTCTACCTGGACAGGTATGAGTATATTTTTCTGGACAGGTGGGCATACAGTATACTGTATCTACCTGAGCAGGTAAGTGTACAGTTAACAGGGTATGTGAGTATATACAGTAGCTACCCGTTCAGATTAGCACATACTGTATACAGCAGTACTGCAGTTACCTGGGTAGGTTATAGAGAGGTGTCATCCTGAAACATGCAACCACTGCTCGCCGACGCTGTTTCGACAGAAGTTTGTGCCACACTGCCTTCTTAGACTTGAAGGGGTGTTCCATCTGGCCGAAAGGAAGACAGAGACCGAGGGAGAAAGGAAATGGAGAGCATCTCAGTGCTGTGTCAGTGTCTGAGTGCTTTCGGTGTGTCAGAGTGTATCAGTGCTGTGTCACTCACCACCTCAATATGATATAGCACAGCTGCCACCTCCTGCACCCTCTTTACCACCTTCTCTGGGTCCTCAGCGTCCTCTGCCTTCCCTGACATCTCCTTGTACAGAGCCATCTGCCAGCGCATGGAGGGGTTATCCACCTGGTGGGGGGAGAGGGGTAACAGTAACAGTGTCCCAGGGCCATCACAGCCAGCACCTCACACACCAAGACACCCAGAGACACAGAGAGACAGAAAAACACTAACACAGACAAAGGCACAGACATGTACGAAAAACTGACGCATAAAGACACAGACATCAGTACAAAGATAGAGACAGACATAAAAACACACACAGGGCAGTGAGGCAGACACAGACAGAGAACAGACACACATACTGATAGATTACCAATACTAGGAAAACCTAAACTGGCAACTAAATGCACACTGTGTGTTAACTTGGCAGGGTGACAGACACACTCACCTTGCCCTGAAGATGCAGGTTGTTTTGCAGGAACTCTCTCACCTCCTCATCAGTATCTTTCTGTCAGAGACACAGAGGGAGAGATTTACACAAATAAATCCTGAGACAGACAGGTAGAGATACTGATGACTCACTGAAACAGTGATGACAAGCTGATAAATACACACACACAAATAAACAGTATGGTGCAAAAAGACTCAGCACTGAAAGAAGTGACACAGTAACACGGACAGTCAAGTGGCTACAGTATGTGGTGTCTGGGTGTAAATCCTCCAGCAGACAAGGGGCGCCCCTCACCAGGGCGTAACGGGTCTTGGCCACATTGATAAGCTCCTGGTCGGCAGGGGAGCACATGTTGAGCCCAATGGGTAGCATCTTCTTTAATGCGGCCACAATCAGAGAGGTCTGCACTGAGTAGCGATCCCCCCGCCTCTTCTTCTTGGTACGCTCCTGGTCCGAGCCGCCTGACTGCAGAGAAACACAGAGTTCAGAGCCGCGGCTACTAATACCGAGGCAATGCCAAAAAACAACACAGAACGCATACACGGGGTATTGCAACGCCACGCTTGTATTGCACAACAACAATCCAATTGCAAAGTACAAAACTGTACTCCACCATCAAACCACAGGCAGCCCAGTTTTGAACCAACTGCAAAACGATCAACCAAACTACACCCAAACCAAGAACAAATACTTCATCCTAGTATTGATCCTAATGTAGTATAATATTATTCAATATTGAATTGAGTTCCAAAACTACTGTTCTGTATACCTATTACTGAATAACACAACCACTCCTCCATGACACTAATACCATCTCTCATCTAACAAATGTATCACGTAATCAGAGCCAAAACCTTTTGACTCATGCCTAAACCTTACCAGGAAAGATATTCCTTTTATACAGAACATATACAGTACTGCAAGGATTACTGGATGGTGCTCGGTGTCAAAGCAACACAACAGTACTGCTTAGTAGTAGTGTCCCTTGACTTAATCTGAAAATTACAGCTCTCTGCACTGACCAACACTGACAGTTAAATAATTTCTTCTTTTGGTTCATTTCACTTAAAATCTTTAAAATCCTTTAACATTATCATCCGGCTGAGCTGATGCTAAAGTTGTACTAAATTAAAACACCTATTCCTATTAGCCTGTTGAGAATTGAAACAAAACAACCAGTTTAGTACCTGATGCAGACCTTAAAAAAGGAATTCTCCCAAAGTTTATTTCTTTTTAAGAAATCCTCTTACCTGGGTGTCATTGTGAGACGTTATGACATGAACACTCTTGTAATTCAATTAAAAGACACTGCAGAGAAAACCCTGGGGAGGTGTGGAACAGGCGGTTTTTGGCCACCAGCTGTTTAATCATACAACGAGGACTGCTTCGTGAGAAGAAATGATAATAATTCAAAAGAAAGAGATTAAAAGTGTTTGAAGGCATGCTAAACAGTGAATTTTTATCAGGGGGTTATTTGTAATCTGGTATATTCTGTGTGTGCATAACCTGGGTGTGGCCCGGCATTACTGTATTCACACACAGTAAGATAATCACATTGGTGAGACTGAGCCCTTAGAAGACATTATCACGGCAGACCAGTGCGCAAACTCTGCTCTTTTACCATGTTTTTACTGTGTATTTCATCCTGATTCATACTTCTCTGGCCAGACCCTGAAAAAAACCCTGATTGCCTGGTACTGTCCCAGTCTGGCACAAGGCAATGACATACCACAGTGTGGTAAAAATAAGACAGATCAGTGCACAATGCAGAGGGTGAAACATGAGGGAAAAAAAGAGGAAAATCACCAGGCAGATTTACCACGGTAAGCTAGCCAGAGCTCCAGGTCAAGTAAATCTAGCCGGAGTCACACAGCACAGCCTGGAGTTAGTAGTCACTAGTCCAGAGAGCGGAGACCAAAGAAAGCACATATCTACGAGGCAGCACACACTGAAGCTCAGGATTACAGCTCCTGTCCTGATCCCACATTATTTATTCTCTCTCTCTGTGTCTCCTGTTCTATTGTCTACGTTTACTGCTGAAAGATAGTGTGTGATCTTCTCTCTCTCTCTGACTGCCTCCTGTCCTATTGCATGTGTGTATAGTATATTACAGAGGGATCCTGTTATCGTCTCCTATCCTGCTGTCTGTGATTATTATATACGGATTCTAACCGTGTTGCTTCTCTTAATGTTTGTGTATACTATAGAGGGATTCTGTTATCTCCTCT